TCTCCTCCCGCACCATTCCCTGTGTGTTCCTTGGCTTTGTCCCTGACGCGCCTGGTTGGCAGTTTTACCACCCCACCTCGCGCCGTGTCTTCCCCTCTCGGGACGTCACCTTTGACGAGTCGGTTCCTTTCTACCATCTCTTTCCCTACCGCATTGCCCCTCTGCCTCCCCCACCGCTTTTCCTCGCTCCAGGTCCCCCTCCGATAGACCCCCTCCCCCCTCAGGGTCCTGCTCCTTCTGGTGTGTCTCAGGTAGACCCGCCCCCCGTGGCTGAGCTTGTAGAGGTCACTAGCGACTCAGGTGCTGCTGCGGGAGGTGCTGCTGGGGGTGCTGCGTCTGGGGGTGCTGAGCCTGCGCGTGAGGTGCTGGGGAGTGCGGAGCCTGGGGGTGCTGAGCCGGAGGGTGCCGGGTCGGGGGGTGCTGAGTCTGCTGGCGTTCCTCTGGGTCTCGTTTCACGACGCGGGCCTGTCTCACCATAGCAGGCACGAGAGTGGCTTGCGTCGCATACCCGCCTGAGGAGTCGTGCTGCTGGAGCTGCTTGTCGTGGAGGCGTTGGGAGTGCTAGTGTCTCTGGTCCTGGAGGTGCTCGTACTGGAGGTACTGGAGCTGCCAGGACTAGTACTGCTCCAGGAGCTGGAGGTGTCGGCTCTGGGGGTGCTGCTGCTGGAGGTACTAGGGCTGGAGGCCCTGGAGCTGGTGCTGTCGACCCTGGCGTTGGAGACCCTGGAGCTGGAGGTGCCGGTTCTGGGGGTGCTACTGCTGGAGGCCCTGGAGCTGGTACTGTCGACTCTGGAGTTGGGGACCCTGGGGCTGGAGGTGCCGGTTCTGGGGGTGCTGCTACTGGTGGCGCTGGAGCTGGAGGTTCTGGAGCTGCTGGAGGAGCTGGAGCTGGAGGTGCTGCTGCTGGAGTCACTGGAGCTGGAGGTGCTGCTGCTGGAGGCGCTGGAGCTGGAGGTTCTGGAGCTGCTGGAGGCGCTGGAGCTGGAGGTGCTGCTGCTGGAGTCACAAGAGCTGGAGGTGCTGCTGCTGGAGGCCCTGGGGCTGGAGGTTCTGGAGCTGCTGGAGGCGCTGGAGCTACTGGTACTGGTGGCACTGCACCGCCGCGACTGTTTTTTGCTCCGCCGTCACCGTCGACTCTGCCACCGCCTGACTCCGTGCTTTGACAGGTTCTTAGCCTCCCGTCTTCTACTGGCCTCCCGTTACAGCCCGGCGCACCACTGCCTGCTCCTTCTCCTTACACTGAGCAGAGAGACTCGCTTACAGAGCGTCGTGAGCCTACGTCTCGTCCTGCCTCGTCAGTTCGCGCGCGTCGCACTGGTAGTCGTGTTCCTCGTGAGTGTCCGCCTCCTATCCCTGGCACACACGCTATGGCACTTCGTCCTTCCTCTGTTCCACAGCGTGTTCCCCTGCCGTCTCCTCCTGCGTCTTCTTTCCCTGACGTTCAGGACCCTGAGTCTGACCTGGTTCGTGCTGCTCACCCCACTATCACGCGTCTGCTAGCCACTGTTGTCACTGACCCGTCGTTTGAGTCTGCTGCTGCGTCTGCCTTAGTCTCTGAGCTTCTTTACTTTGCTGATGCCTGTCGTCTAGACTTCGCTACTAGTCTTGTTGCTGAGTCTGAGTCTGTCTGTCCTCCGTCCGTCGGGGGTGAGTGTGCTCTTGGCACGGACATCCTTGAGGACAGGCAGGAGGACTTTGAGTGTCTTGCGGCTGCTGTACCTCATCTCGTGGCCATGCTGCTTGCCCCTGAGGGAGACCCGGATGCACCAGACATCCCGACCCCGCGCTCTTACGCTGAGGCGATCGCGGGTGAGTACTCCTCTCAGTGGCAGACAGCCATGGATGCAGAGATGGCATCCTGGAAGTCCACAGGCACTTACGTCGACGCAGTTCCCCCTCCTGGGGCGAACACAGTCGATGGCATGTGGATTTTCAGGGTGAAGCGGCCGCCGGGTTCTCTGCCTGTCTTCAAGGCTCGTTACGTTGCACGAGGCTTCAGTCAACGACAGGGAGTTGACTTCTTTCAGACCTTCTCCCCCACCCCAAGAAGATGACCACTCTTCGGGTGCTGCTGCACGTTGCCGCTCAGCGTGACTACGAGCTTCACTCTCTTGACTTCAGCACAGCGTTCTTACAGGGCAGTCTGCACGAGGAGATCTGGCTGCGCCGCCCACCTGGCTTCACTGGGTCATTCCCTCCTGGTACCCAGTGGAGCCTCCGCCGTCCAGTCTACGGTCTCCGTCAGGCGCCTCGTGAGTGGCACGACACACTGAGGACGACACTTGCGGCTCTTGGGTTTGCACCTTGCACTGCTGACCCGTCGCTGTTTCTGCGCACCGACACTTCGTTGCCGCCGTTCTATATCCTCGTGTACGTCGACGACTTGGTCTTTGCCACTGGTGACACTGAGGCTCTCGCCCTTGTGAAGTCGGAGCTGCAGAAGAGACACACGTGCACAGACCTGGGTGAGCTGCGCATCTACCTTGGCCTGCAGATCACCCGGGACAGAGCACTGCGCACCATCACACTGACTCAGTCACACATGGTGCAGCAGGTCCTTCGGCGCTTTGACTTCACTTGGTCCTCGCCACAGTCCACTCCCCTGGCTACAGGTCACTCGCTCTCAGCTCCACCTTCGGACGAGTCCGTAGAGCCGAGTGGCCCGTACCCAGAGCTAGAGGGCTGCCTCATGTACCTGATGACCTGCACTCGTCCTGACCTTGCGTACCCTCTTGGCCGTCTGGCACGCTACGTGGCTCCTGGTAGGCACCGAAAGGTGCACTTTGATGCTGCAAAGAGGGTACTGCGCTACTTGTGCAGTACATTGGGCATGTGGCTCGTGCTTGGAGGGCGGAGCTCAGTTGTCCTCACTGGGCACTCAGACGCTTCTTGGGTTGACGACCTGGCTACGCAGCGGTCGTCACAGGGTTACACATTCAACCTTGGCTCTGGCTCTGTTTCTTGGCGGTCTACCCGCTCGTCTTCTGTTCTCAGCTCCAGTTGTGAGGCTGAGATCTACGCCACAGCTATGGCTGCACAGGAGTTACGCTGGCTCACCTACCTGCTGACCAACTTGGGAGAGGGGCCTCGTTCTCCTCCAAATCTGTACGTCGACAACAAGGCTGCCATTGCCTTGTGTTAGGACCACAGAATGGAGCACAGAACGAAGCACATCGCTCTGCGTTACTTCCTTGCTCGAGAGTTGCAGCAGCGTGGTCAGCTTCGTGTCGCCCACGTGCCCACCCGGGCGAACACGGCTGATGTGTTCACCAAGGCCCTTCCAGCTGGTGATCATCAGTGCTTCTGCACTGCTCTAGGCCTGGTGCCTACGTTTCTTCACTTGCTGTAGACTTTGGTTGTACTGTGATCTATATATATCTACCTGCATGTTTACTCTTGCTAGGTAGTGATCACTGTACTGTTGTTGTTGCATATATACCTCTGCGTGTGAACTGGCCTTGTGGCCCTTTTGCTTGTGCTTGGAGTGTGTGGTGACGTTGTGATCCACCCTGAGCTTGCATTGCCTTTCTTGACTGGTCTTGTGACCCCTTGTTCTCCCCCATTTTGCCTATGGGGGTGTGTCAAACCAAATATATGCTATGCTGTAATGGGTAGGCTATAGTGGGGTAGCCAACTTGGGGTACAACCCCTTTAGGTTTTGTACTTATACCAACTTTCTCGATAGTTTACATCATTCCTGCGTGTTAATTCTTAACAACATGTACATGCCCTCAGATATCGGCGTAAAACACGCTGATTACGCTGATTTTGAAGCTCTGATTTTCGTTTTCCCTGAAAAATCAGCATATGCTTCAATTTTGCACTGAAATTTCAGTATAACCTATTGTGTCACACTGACCGTTTTGCGTGTTTCTGTACAAGTAACACTGGCGATTCAGTATACTTCAGTGAGTCACACTGAAATGGACTTGACCGCGGCGGGGGGGGGGGGGGGGGGGGGGGGGGGGGGGGTACGCGACGCTTGTACAGACTTTACCTTCCCCGTGATTCACGAAACCCCACACACCCACACACTTGGAATTTTCTCACATGCGCTGTACTTACAGCTTGTGCGCGCCGAACCGTTTTGCCGCGCTGGAAGCCATCACAACGAAACAGCTCTGTAGTTCACGACTGCCCAATCAAAACACAGACAGCACACCACTGGAGGCAGGGTCCACGCCTACACACCATACAGGATGGCAGTGGGGTGGGGGTCTTGTCATCTTGCCACGAAAGACAGCCAGGGTGGACCAAGATGCCTCTCCATGGCGGCTCGGGAGAGGGGGTACCCCCATCTGGTCCCTCATTCTGTTCCTGCACTCGTCGTGAACCCTTGCAGGAAGTGACGTTGGAGCGCAAGCGTAGGCAGGAGTAGCTTCCCTCTCAAGCTCGGCACGCTTGGCTGAGCTGAGCAGCCATGGCGGATTCGTCGCCCGCAGGCGACGGCCCTGAATCCAATGTTGCCATGAAGCCAGTTGCCCTTACTTGCCTTGACTTGTTACGACGAGCTTCAGCTGCTCCCGCGTTAGTCTCGCCATGTCACCGAATATAATGGTAAGTGCATCATATTCTGGACATACGCTAATTGAGGTGCAGAAGTGCTGTAGCAATTGCTATTCAACTTATAGAGGAGGTAGTTGGGTGTTGGGAGAAGCGAAGGGTTGGTAGCATTGGGGGTTGCAGGGCGCTGCGGGTGCAATTCCAGGGACATTGGGAGACAGGAAATCTGGTGAGGGCCAATCCAAGGCCCAGGCGGCTCGGGCCCAACCCATCACGCAGAGAACTGTGCGACTAGGAAGCCAGGCACAAGTAGCCTAGCCTAGCAAAGCAATCTTGTTCTCTCGACTTGTTTGCCTCGTATAGTGGATCTAAACTACCGTTTCAATCTAACTCCAGCTAGGTAGCTAAAGCCACCGTGGGCAGCCATCGTGTGGGAGAGTGAACTTCTCACAAGTCGAGAGAACAGGGCCGGCGATATGGATCGCCATGAGCTGCGCATGCAGCAAATGTTTTCGCGGCGGGAACGCTCTCCGTCGCGAGGGAGGCGCTCGCAGGAGCGCAGGAGGTCGCCGACGCGCTCGCCACGACGGGCGGCGTATCGCGCAGATCCGGCTACGCCCGTGGGCGTACGTGCTGGAGGACGCGGAGCGGATCTGTACATCAGATCGGAGCCGAGAAGGCAGCCCGCAGCCAGCGATCCGTGGGATCTAGCAAGAGGCCAGCACGGAGTGGATGACGACGTGGACATGGACACGCCAAGCGTTGAAGGCGAAGAGGAAGAGCTCGACGGAGACGATTCCCCTGCTGCGCGGGGAGGCGGGAGGCGCGCTGGCGCCGACGGAGACGATTCCCCTGCTGCGCGGGGAGGCGGGAGGCGCGCTGGCGCCGACGGAGACGATTCCCCTGCTGCGCGGGGAGGCGGGAGGCGCGCTGGCGCCGACGGAGACGATTCCCCTGTTGCGCGGGGAGGCGGGAGGCGCGCTGGCGCCGACGGAGACGATTCCCCTGCTGCGCGGGGAGGCGGGAGGCGCGCTGGCGCCGACGGAGACGATTCCCCTGCTGCGCGGGGAGGCGGGAGGCGCGCTGGCGCCGACGGAGACGATTCCCCTGCTGCGCGGGGAGGCGGGAGGCGCGCTGGCGCCGACGGAGACGATTCCCCTGCTGCGCGGGGAGGCGGGAGGTGCGCTGGCGCCGACGGAGACGATTCCCCTGCTGCGCGGGGAGGCGGGAGGCGCGCTGGCGCCGACGGAGACGATTCCCCTGCTGCGCGGGGAGGCGGGAGGCGCGCTGGCGCCGACGGAGACGATTCCCCTGCTGCGCGGGGAGGCGGGAGGCGCGCTGGCGCCGACGGAGACGATTCCCCTGCTGCGCGGGGAGGCGGGAGATGCGCTGGAGCCGACGGAGACGATTCTCCTGCTGCGCGGGGAGGTGGGAGGCGCGCTGGCGCCGACGGAGACGATTCCCTTGCTGCGCGGGGAGGCGGGAATGGAGAAAGAATGGGAGAGGGTGACGGACAGAGACATCGCGAGAAAGCATGGAACGAGGAAAGGGGAAGGAGGAAGGAAGAGCGCATACCTGGAGCACGGAAAATAAATGATAGGGAGCAGGGCTGGGGTGAGGGAGTTGAGCGCCAGGCCACAGAACGTCAAGGGAAAGAAAGGAGCCATGGCGCACCTGCTGGAGTGTTCCACTCGCCCGACCTGAGGCAGGGGTATGAGCACAGGCGGCGTATGGCGAGAGGTGACTGGATAGGCTTAGGACTGCCGAGGAGGGGAGAGCGATGCGGTGCTGAAGAAGGAGGCAGGTGGGGCTCACAGGAAAGAGGAAGGGAGTGGAGGCGCGAGGAGGACAGGCGAGGCAGGAGAGAAGGTGTGCGGTCACCAGAAGTCTCGAGGGCAGCAGAGAAGGAGCGACAGCGAGAGGACAGAGTGCGGCGGTACCAGGAGCGGTCCCCTGCAAGGGGAGAGAAGCGTCGGGAAGATCCAGAGAGGCGCTGGGAGGAGCGTGAAGATGCCCGAGGGAAGAGCCCTAGCCCGATGGGCCCGAGGAGGCTTGGGCGTCACGGCGAAGGATCTGCGGGAGCAAGAGCGGCTAGGGAAGGATTAGAGCGAGTGCTGTACGGAACCAGCACAGGCAGCAGGGGAGAACAGGAGAGGAGGAGAGGGGTTATGGTGTCTGAGCGAGGAGGGACGGAGAGCTGGGAAACAGGGAAGTGGGGCGCAACAGCACAGCCGCGAGTGGAGGTGCCAGTACGCTTCACGGGAAACGAGAAAACCGGCCCAAGTCTGAAGAATTACCTGATGCAGATCAGCAATGTTAAATACCGATGCGACAGAAGCGGGATGGACCCGATCGAATTCTTCCTGAGCCTGCCAAGCACGTTGGGAGGGGAAGCAGAGACTCTTTATCGCATGAAGTTTGGTGAATGGCTGAGGAGGGCAGAAGAGGATGACGAGGACCCAACGGTACTGTTCCTGGAGCGCCTAAGGAAGCAGTTCCCTGGGCATACGGCGGTGCGCATTAGGGAATTTCAGGAGTTTAGGCGGAGGGATGAGGAGTCACTGCTGACATACTACGGACGGTTAATGAACCTGGCAGAAGATGTGGTGTGCACGGACAGCAGCATGATCATTAGCAAGTTTCTGAACGGTTTAGACAAGGAATTGGTAGGAGGGTTGAGAATGAGAGTCTATGAGCTAGGAGCAGATGCAACACCAGAAGAGGTGTTCGAGTTAGCGGAGCAGGTGGAGCTCGCGCAAAGGAAGTACGAGGTATACCTGCCAAGAACGATAGAGAAGAAGAGTCCTACCTGGGCAGCGGCGATGATACCAGGGGAGGGAACAGGAGAAGAGAGCAGGCCGGAGAAAAGGACAGAGACACGCACCTGTTACCGCTGTGGGCAGCCGGGGCACATAAGGATGCACTGCAGGAACTGCGATGTATGTGGGAAGCCAGGGCACCGCCGAAGGGACTGCTCGGAGGCAACGACATGTAAAGAGTATGGGGAAAGGGGGCATGAGGCAAGGGACTGCGATAAAGGGACAGGCGGAAGGAAAGGGTCACCAGAGGAGATTGAGAGCCAGATAAGGAAGTTGCGGGCGGAGTTGCAGGCCCTGGGAGGGAGTAAGGAGAAGGAGGCTGGGTTGTACGCGAGGGAGGAAGGAGCAGAAGAGGATGAGGGGCAGGAGCCAGAGTACACATGCCTGGCGTTACGTAGCCATGAGGAACTGGGTCTGTGCAGTGGGGGCAGAGACGGAAGGAAAGGGCGGGCGCTCAGAGAAAGAACAGAGAGGCAGGTGGGGTTATATGTAAGGGAGGAAGAGGAAAAGGAGCAGGAGCCAGAATATTCCTGTGCGGTGCTTCGTAGCAGTGAAGTCATGGGGCTGTGCAGTGGGGGCAGGGACGGAGGAAGGGAGCGAGCAACGAAGGTGAGGGCATGGGCAGTGGCAGAAGAGGAGGAGAAGGATGAGATAGTGAGGGAATGGGCAGTGGCAGAAGGGGAAGAGAAGGACGAGAAGGAGGAGGCGGGAGTGTGCGATTTAGTAGCAGCAGGCACTGAAGGGAAGAATGAGAGGGAGGGGACCTGGGCGTGCGTACCAGCAGCCGCGGAAGCAGAAGAGAAGGAGGAGCAGGTGGGGGCAGGAGTGAGCGAACTTGCAGCAGGAGAAGTAGAAGAGAGGGACGTAGAGGCGGGGGCAAGGCCGTGTGTACCAGCGACAGCAGATGCAGAAGGGAAGGGCGTGAAGGAGGGAGCGGTGAAGAAAGGAGGGGAGAAGGAGCTGAGCAGTACAGACATGGGAGGGAGTGGTTGGCAGCCAGCGCTAAGGACAGCGGAGTTGTTCGGGGAAATCAGGGCAGGGGCAAAGACTGGCGTGACAGTGAAGGATCGGATGCAAGCAGAGGAGCAAGCGCAGGGAAACAAGCTGGCGGAGCAGCATGTGAGGAAGCTGCGGGGAGGGAGGCCAGAGCTGCTGGGGGAAGCAGAGCAGGAGAGTAAGGAAGTGGGGGCAGGGGAGCCCCTAGCAACAGGGGAAAAGGCAGACCATACAATGGAAGAGGCGGAGAACCGGGCGGCAGGGGAGCAAGCTAAGGCAGCGGAACACTTGGAGGAGGTGATACCGGTATCGGTGGAGGACCTACATACCGTGCAGTTGAGGGATGCGTGCAGCCGTGAGCAGTGGCAGCAGCAGGAAGGCAAGGGGAGAAGGGCGGCTATAGAGGTGGGACGGGAAGAGAGGAGCAAAGAAGGATACACTAGATGTGGACTAGGGCAGAGTGAAGGGGAGGGCGCAAGCAGTGCGAGGCGTGGGAGTGCTAGTGCTGGAGAAGGAGAAGGGAGAACAGACCGTGGACCACCAGACCCGCACGGCAGGACTGAAGAGCAGCCGTCCTCAGCTGAGAGTCCTGTGACTCGCGCCCGAGCAGCTCGAGCACGAGCACAGGAGGGGGCAGGTAGAAGGGAACAGGAGTGGGGACAGCACAAGGTGGGGAAAGGCCAGAATAAGAAGGAAGGGAAGAAGGTGAGGACAGAAGGCAGGGAAGAGGCAAGGGCAAGAGACGAGTGAGTAAGGAGAGGGGAGTAACTCCGACAGCTGTCACCGAATATAATGGTAAGTGCATCATATTCTGGACATACGCTAATTGAGGTGCAGAAGTGCTGTAGCAATTGCTATTCAACTTATAGGGGAGGTAGTTGGGTGTTGGGAGAAGCGAAGGGTTGGTAGCATTGGGGGTTGCAGGGCGCTGCGGGTGCAATTCCAGGGACATTGGGAGACAGGAAATCTGGTGAGGGCCAATCCAAGGCCCAGGCGGCTCGGGCCCAACCCATCACGCATAGAACTGTGCGACTGGGAAGCCAGGCACAAGTAGCCTAGCCTAGCAAAGCAATCTTGTTCTCTCGACTTGTTTGCCTCGTATAGTGGATCTAAACTACCGTTTCAAGCTAACTCCAGCTAGGTAGCTAAAGCCACCGTGGGCAGCCATCGTGTGGGAGAGTGAACTTCTCAGGTAGTGGCTGAGAACGCAGAAGGGAACAAGGGAACAGGAGTGGGGACAGCACAAGGTGGGGAAAGGCCAGAAAAAGAAGGAAGGGAAGAAGGTGAGGACAGAAGGCAGGGAAGAGGCAAGGGCAAGAGACGAGTGAGTAAGGAGAGGGGAGTAACTCCGACAGCCAGCAGTTCCGTCCGTTGTTCTCCCTTCTTCGGGCCCCAAGGCACCTACCATTTGGACGCAGGGCGAGTGTTCGACGCATATCGCCGCTGCCGCATCACCTATTGTCGTAGCCGCATCAACTCCTGTCGCTGCCGCTTCAACTCATGCCGCTTCCGAACCCACACGGAACTGAGTTCCTGTCACTGCCGGATCTACTCGCAAAGGCCCACGTCTCAAACGGGGTATCAAAGTGAAGTACCTCCAGACGAAGATCCTGTGGGGTGCCAGTGAAGCTACGCCAACGTCTGGTGTGGGGAACTCCTCCCCAAAGGCCCAACAGCGTAAACTCAAGGGGAAAGCGGTTGAGGTTACTTCTGAAACAGAACTGCCCGACATAGCCAAGGAGAAATATCAGGAAGCCTTATTTATGTACAACAAACAGTGGTCTGACGACTACCCGTGGCTTGCTCTGTGTCAGACAAAATATGGGTTCCCGTCAATGAAGTGCTCGGTCTGCATTGCGCACGGTGGTGTGGGCACCAACTTCGGCGCCAAAGGAGAAGGGGCAACCGATGTGCAGACCCAGGCAATGCGGAAGCATCAGCGCACAAGGAAGCACCGCCGAGCTGTGCGTAGACAGAGGACAGCTGAGGCAGCGCTCAAGGCTAACCGCCGAATCGACGACAACGCGAAGGCGACAGGCATTGAGAAGGAGCGCCTGATCTCGCTCTTCGAGACCGCACTCTTCCTCACTAAGTCCGATGCCCAGATCGAGATGTTCGTGGGCCTCGTCCGACATCTGGCGCAGCGTGGTACGCCTGGCTTCCCAAAGAGCGGTTATGGTTCCTACTATACGACGTAAGTAAGAGTGGTCTAGTACGTATCGGTGCAGTGTATGAACTATGTGAACTATTACTAACCAAATGTGTTGATGCCCGTGCAGGTACGGCTAGAGATTACTGCCGCAATAGCGACATACCTGCGTGCGCGCCAGAGAGAGTTCATTGACTCTAGTCCATACATTGGTCTGAGCTGCGATGAGAGTACGGACCGCGTCAAAGGGAAGCACATGATTTTGTTTGTAACCTTTCTGCGTGATCATGCCGTCGTCAGCGAGTTTCTAGCTAACCTCACCATTGAGAAGTGTGATGCAGCATCTCTTCATGCTGTGCTCAAAGGACTCCTAGACAGTATCAGTCTGCCGCTGGAGAAGGTGGCGGGTCTCAGCACCGATGGGGCTCCTGTGATGATCAGCAACGACACGGGCCTCGTTGGGCGTCTTCGACTGCAGATCCCGCACGTGGTGGCCTCTCACTGCATTGCATACAGGTAATATGTTGCTGTATTGGTGTCGTTGCTGTTGGATATGCGGAACTTGATATGTTGCTTCTCGTGTACTTACCGACCGACTGTGTTATTGTACCCGTGGCAGGGAAGCTCTAGCTGCAAAGGATGCGGCTAAGGCACTACCAGAGATGGGCATTATCGACGCGGTTATCCGCGCAGTGGCGGAAGATCTCGGCAGATCTAAGCCCTACAACCACAAGTTCAAGGAGCTGCAGGAAGTCTTCACTCATACCAACCTCGAGGTCCAGGGGATCCATTCCGTCCGCTGGTTAAGTCGCGGCGATGCTATTGCACGATTCGTCCGCGTTCTGCCTGCTGTGATCGTTCTCCTCGAGGAGACGGACGCGGCGATGTACCTCCTGGTGACATTGTTCAAATTTCATTTCTTCCTGTTCTTCCTGGCGGGCATGCACACGGCACTCAACGCGCTCAACCTGCGATTCCAGAAACGACATGTGAGTTGTTTTGCTACGCTCAGCAGATTTCTTCATCTACCTTGTACTTATCTTTTGTTTCCATGTACCCTTCCTCCCCCTAAAAACAGGTTGACCTCACTGCAGTGCACTCCCAGGTGAGGCGGACCATCATCTACATCGAGCAGAGGTACCTGAACTGTGGCCAGCAGTTTGGCGGTGGGACCAGCGAGCTGCTGTCTGCATTCCTCGCGCGGCACGCCTTGCCAGACTGCCGTGAAGTGATTGTGGAGGGGGTGGACAAGGAGGGTCAGTGACGGGTCCACAAGTTTCAGATGCACGAGGAATCTGTGAAGGGGTATACCACCAGCAGCGAGGACATGCAAGGATGTCAACCTGCTGCCGCTCATTCGCCTGCGAGCTGGTGTACAACCTCGAGCTGCGCTTGGGGGACCTGACGCGCTTGAACGGGGCAAAGCTCTTCATGCCCCGCTCGTGGCCGAGGGGAGTCGAGGCAAGAGATGCGGAGTGCAAGGAGCACCTGCACGGCCTCGTGCATGTCTTTCAGGCCAAGAACCGGGACACCATCTTGCCTGGTGAGCAGTCATAGAACCATGACCTGCATGTGTGCCTGCACGTTTCCCTGGTTGACGTTCTTCCCAATCTGTGCGTTTGACGTTCTACCCAGTTGTGCGTTCCCGTTGGCAGGTGTCCAGAAGTGTGCAGCACGAGCGGAGCTGCGCACGTTTTTGCCGGTGGTCTCCACTGCCCCCAAGGAGGAGCAGCCCTTGCATGCAGGTTTGAAGGCCATCTTGCAGACCAGCGACTGGCAGACCAGCTACCCCAACCTAGTCCGGTTGTGGGCTGCGGTCGCTATTCTGCCACTCAGCACAGTCGAGTGTGAACGTGGGTTTTCCCGCCAAAATGTCATCAAGTCATGGCGCCGGACGAGCCTCTGCAACGCCAAGCTGGGAAATCTATTGGCAATGAGCCTGCTCGACTACGACATGGAGTGGGGGAGGTGGTGGACATCTTTAGGAGCAGCAGGAAAAGGCGCCCCAGCAAGCGCAAGGAGCACGCTGCACCAGAGAAGGAGCGGGCCAAGTTTGTTAAGGGGAGTGGCCGCCGGGTGCTGCAGGTGGAGGAGGAGCTAGACGAGGGCATGCATGGTTCTGCAGGCGATGACAGTGAGAGCGATGGTGGTGACAGTAGCAGTGGTGGTGATTGTGAGAGTGATTCTGACGATGAGATGAGTTAGTAGTAGTAGTAGTAGTAGTAGTAGTAGTAGTAGTAGTAGTAGTAGTAGTAGTAGTAGTAGTAGTAGTAGTAGTAGTAGTAGTAGTAGTAGTAGTAGTAGTAGTAGTAGTAGTAGTAGTAGTACTGTAGTGCTGCTGTAGCCTGTCTGTCACAAACAATGATGAGACGTGCTTAAACATGCATGCATGCATGCACGCACTGTTGCGTCAGCTCTGATTTTTTTTTTACACTGCTGTTTCAGTTTAGGATGAATTTTTACACTGACAAAATCAGTATACACATAACCACGAACGCTGATTTGGACACCTGTTTTGCACGGGCACGCTGATCCATCAGCATACCCTCAAACCAATCTGAGGGCCTGACCATGTACTCTGACGAGTCCCTTATTAACTGAATTACATTGCTACAATAACCATGACTAAAGCCATTCTTGACAGTTACCACGTTGCATCTCGTAACTGCCACGTGCGGTTAATGGTGGACTAGGTAGCATGCATGAGAACAAGTACCTAACCCCTAAAGTGTTGTACCCCTTGTAGGCTAACCCACTATAGCCTAGAGATAACACAAACATACAGTTTGACACACCCCCATAGGCTAAGTGGGAGATAGCAAACACAACAGACGGTCACAAGACCAGTCAAGCAAGAGAACAAGCAAAGCAAAGCAAAGCTCAGGGTGGATCTCAAGGACACCACACAATCTGAGCACAAGCAAGCGGCCACAAGGCCAGTTCACATGCAGAGTTATAATAGCAAGGCAGTACACTGATCACAACCAAGCAAGAGTAAACAAGCAGGTATAAAGATATATATCAGTGTACAACAAGAGCAAGTCAAGCAACTAGCAGGTGAGGCAGAGTGGGCACAAGCCCAAGAGCAGTGCAGAAACGCTAATGATCACCAGCCCCAAGGGCCTTGGTGAAGACATCAGCAGTATTGGCCCGAGAGGCCACGAAAGCAAGGGGCAGTTGACCACGCTGCTGCAACTCACGCGCAAGGAAGTAGCGAAGAGCAATGTGCTTCGTTCGGTGCTCCAGTCTCTGCTCGCGACACAAGGCAAGCATTGCCTTGTTGTCGACGTAAAGAACTGGAGGACAACGAGGCCGCTCCCCCAAGTCGGTCAGCAGGTAGGTCAGCCAGCGGAGCTCCTGTGCAGCCATGGCCCTAGCGTAGATCTCGGCCTCACAGCTGGAACCAAGCACAGAAGAAGAACGAGTGGACCTCCACGAGATAGAACCAGCGCCAAGACTGAAGGTGTAGCCCTGTGACGAACGCTGAGTCGCCTGGTCGTCGGCCCAAGAAGCGTCAGAGTGTCCTGTGAGGACCACTGAACCCCGTCCTCCAAGCACGAGCCCCATGCCCGATGTGCTGCACAAGTAACGCAGTACCCTCTTCGCAGCATCAAAGTGCACCTTTCGGTGTCGACCAGGTGCCACGTAGCGAGCCAAGAGGCTGAGAGGGTACGCGAGGTCAGGTCGTGTGCACGTCATCAGGTACATGAGGCAACCCACAAGCTCTGGGTACGGACCACTCAGCTCTATGGACTCGTCCGAAGGTGGAGCTGAGAGCGAGTGGCCGGTAGCCAGAGGAGTGGGCTGTGGCGAGGAGTACGTGAAGCGGAAGCGCTGAAGGACCTGGTGCACTATGTGTGACTGAGTCAGTATGATGGTGTGCCGTGGTCTGTCCCGGGTGATCTGCAAGCCAAGATAGCTCCGTAGCTCACTCAGGTCAGTGCAGGTGTGTCTCTCCTGCAGCTCCGCCTTCACTAGGGCCAGTGCCTCAGTGTCAACAGTAGCAAAAACCAAGTCGTCGACGTACACGAGGATGTAGAACGGCGGCAGAGTAGTGTCGGTGCGTAGAAACAGCGACGGGTCAGCAGTCGAAGGAGCAAACCCAAGAGCCGCAAGTGTCGTCCTCAGTGTGTCGTGCCACTCGCGGGGCGCCTGACGCAGGCCGTACACTGGTCGCCGTAGGCTCCACTGGGTACCCTCAAGAAACGACCCAGTGAAGCCCAGTGGACGGCGCAACCAGATGGCCTCGTGAAGGCTACCCTGCAAGAAAGTTGTCGAAAAGTCGAGGGAGTGCAGCTCGTAGTCACGCTGAGCTGCAACGTGTAGCAACACCCGAAGAGTGGTCATCTTCAAGGTGGGGGAGAAGGCCTGAAAGAAGTCGACCCCCTCACGCTGATTGAAGCCTCGAGCAACGTAACGTGCCTTGAAGGCAGGCGGAGAACCCGGCGGCCGCTTCACCCTGAAAATCCACATGCCACTGACAATGTTCGCCCCAGGTGGGGGAGCCTCGTCGACATAGGTGCCTGTGGACTTCCAGGAAGCCATCTCTGCGTCCATGGCTGTCTGCCACTGAGAGGAGTACTCACCCGAAATCGCCTCCCTGTAGGAGTGCGGGGTGGGGATGTCAAGTGCATCCGGGTCTCCCTCAGGGGCAAGCAGCATGGTCGCGTGATGGGGTGAAGCGGCGGCAAGGCACTCCAGCTCCTCCTGTCTGTCCTCAAGAACGTCACAGCCAAGGGCAGTACAGCCAAGGGCAGTCTCACCCCCGACGGACGGAGGACAGGCAGGGTCAGGGTCAGAGACAAGACTCGCAAGGTAGTCTAGGCGGTACACAGCAGCAAAGTCAACGAGCTCAGCGACTAAGGCAAACGCAGCAGGAGACGAGAACGTAGGGTCTGTCACAACCGTAGCAAGCAAGCGAGTAACAGTCGGACTGGACGCACGAGCAAGGTCAAACGGAGGGTCAGCAACGTCATGAAGAGAGGACGCAGGAGGTAACGGTAGGACAACACGCTGTGGAACAACGGAGTGTCATATCGTGAGTGTCGGGGAAAGCCGGAGCACGCGGACGACGAACACGAGGAACACGAGCACGGACAGCAGCGCTAGGCTCAGGCTCAAGGTCGCTCAGGGGTGGAAGCACAAGTCTCAGGCTCTCGACGCTCAATCAGGGACTGTGTCACCGCAGTGTAAGGAGCAGGAGCAGGCAGTGGGGAGTGCAGTAGGAGCGGCGGCTGTGACTGGTCCGCCGGTGGAAACAGCAACGGGGGAGTAGTACCTGCCATAGGGAAGTCAGTAGCACCGGGCGGAAGACTGAGAAGGTGGCGAAGAGCACCAGCAGCTCCCGTACCTCCAGCAAGAGCAGCTCCTCCAGTACCCCCAACAACACCTCCAGCACCAGTAGCACCAGCACCTCCAGCACCACGAGCTCCGACAGCGCCAGCACCTCGAGCACCAGTAGTACCTCCAGCACCTCCAGTGACTCCAGCTCCAGCTCCAGCGCCTCCAGCACCAGTAGTACCTCCAGTACCTCCCGTGCCAGCAGCTCCAGTAGCACCTCCAGTACCTCCAGCACCAGCAGCACCACCTGCTCCGGCAGCTCCAGCACCTCCAGTACGAGCACCTCCGGGACCAGTAGCTCCAGCACCTCCAGTACCTCCAGCTCCAACGCCTCCAACACCAGCAGCACCAGCACCTCCAGGGTCAGCAGCTCCCGCAGCTCCAGCACCAGAAGCACCAGCACCTCCAGTGCCAGTAGCTCCTGCACCTCCAGTAACAGTAGTACCTCCAGCACCAGCAGCTCCAGTACCTCCAGCTCCAGTACCTCCAGCACCGGCAGCACCTCCAGTACTAGCAGCTCCAGTACCTCCAGCACCAGCAGCAACTCCAGTACCCCCAGCACCAGCAGCTCCAGTACCTCCTGCACCAGCAGCACCTCTATTACCTCCAGTAGTACCTCCAGCACCAGCAGCACCTCCTGGACTAGTAGCTCCACCACCAGCAGGACCGTACCCTCCACCACCAGGACTGCCTCGCAGAATGACCCACGCACGAATCGCTTGCGGTGAGAGCGTCTAAAGTAGAGCAGGCTGCGGTGGCTGTCCAGCTCCAGTACCTCCAGTAGTGGTAGATCTAGCACCTCCAGCACCAGAAGCACCTCTAGTACCTCCAGCTCCAGCACCTCCAGCACCAGCAGCAGCTCCAGTACCTCCAGCACCAGTAGTACCTCTAGTACCTCCAGTAGGACCTCCAGGCCTAGTAGCTCCAGTACCTCCAGCTCCAGGACCTCCAGAAGGACTCGCAGCACCCCCAGAGTCAGCACCCGAAGTCTCAGCACCCCCAGAGTCAGCGCCCTCAGGCTCAGCACCCTCGGTCCCAGCACCCTCAGTCTCAGCACCCTCAGTCTCAGCACCCTCAGTCCCAGCACCCTCAGGCTCAGTACCCTCAGTCTCTGCTCCAGTGTCCACAGCAGTAGGCTGCAGAGGCGGCGAAGACGGCAGAGGTGGGAACCCAGGGGGGGTAGCCAGACAAGGAGAGCGGGCACCCCCAGACTCACCACCCCTAGTCCCAGCTCCAGTAGACTCAGCTCCAGAGTCCACAGCAGCAGGCTGCGGAGGCGGCGAAGATGGCCGTGGCGGGAAACCCGAGGGGGTCGCCAAGCGAGGAGTGCGGCGAGTGGTCGCCGTGTCGTCGGCTACGGCATCACCCCCCTTAGGTGAGTTAGAGGAGTCAGAAGAGATCTCAACTGGCTCATCCAAGGGGGGTGGGTCTACCTGGGACACACCTGAGGGAGCAGGACCCTGTGGGGGGAGGGGGTCTACCGGGGGGGGGACTGGAACCAGGAAGAGGGGTGCAAGGGGGACCGGGTGGGACGCGTGCGGGTGAAGTCGGTAGTAACAGACCGACTCGTCGAAGGTGACGTCCTGAGAGGACAGAACACGACGCGAGGCAGGGTGGTAGAACTGCCAGGGTGGAGCGTTGGTGGGGAAGCCCAGGAAGACACAGCGGAGAGTGCGAGGAGAGAGCTTGCTCGCTTTGGTATCGCTAACAAGGGAGAGCGCGCCCCAGACCCGAAACGACGACGCATCACCAGGCTGTCCCGTCCAACGGAGTGTGGGCGAGGTCTCTGGAGCAGAGACACGGGGCCAGAGGTTGAGCTGATGCGCGGCGTATCGGACCGCAAACAGCCACAGGAAATGGGGAGCAACCGCATGGATCATGGAGGTACGAGCAACCTCCATGATCAGGCCAATGCGACGCTCAGCGATCCCATTTTGCTGCGGAGAGGCCGGAAGCGTGAACGACTGGGCGATGCCCTCATCCTGGCAGAACGTCTCAAGGACGCCAGAAGAGAACTCACCACCCCTGTCAGAGTGCAGACGCAGGACTGGGAAGTCCTGCTGAAAGCGCTCGTGTAGCTGGAGACGAGTAGCACGGATCCAGGAGATCAAAACACCGCTGACGCGAGGGGATCCAGGGGGTCCACATGCGTGACGCGAGGGGCAGCAGAGCACAAAGCGACGGGCTGCCTTAGGGCGCGACGCGCGGGCTGCAGCAAAGCGCGACGCGCGAGGCAGCAGCGCGCGACTCGTGGGCTGCGTTAGGGCGCGGGCTGCAGGGGCAGGACGCACGGGCTCCAGGGGCGGTGTGCGGGCTACAGGGGCGACGCGCGGGCTGCAGGGGCGCCACGCTGGCTGCAAGGGCAGCTCGTACGGGCTGCAGGGGCCACGCGGCTCAACAGGTCCGCGCGCGAGCTGTAGGGACGGCGCGAACGGGCCGCAGAGGCGGCGCGTGGGCTCCAGGGGCGACACGCGGGCTGCAGGGGCCGCGCGGACGGGCTGCAGAGGCGACGCGCGGCTCGGCAGGTCCGCGCGCGAGCTGTAGGGGCGACGCGAACGGGCCGCAGAGGCGGCGCGCGGGCTCCAGGGGCGACGCGCGGGCTGCAGGGGCCGCGCGGATCGGTAGTTCTGCAGGGTCAACGTGAACGGGCTGCAGGGGCGACGTACGGGCTGCAGGAGCGACGTACGGGCTGCAGGGGCAGTGCGCGGGCCACAGGGGCAGGCGTGGCTGCAGGGGCAGCACGGTAGCAGGGGCGAGCACGGCTGCAGGGGCAGCACGGTCGTAGGGGCGAGCACGGCTGCAGGGGCAGCGCGGACGCAGGGGCAGCGCACGGGCTGCAAGGGTCGCGACAGTGAGAGCTAGGGGCGCCAGCGCGCTGGCTACTGTGTAGGGCGTGGCGCTACCACTAGGCGGAACGGTGGGCCCATGTAGGAACGGTTCCTTCTCTGATAACATGTCAAGAATAGAACTAGGAATGAATGATTGAACTAGGCAAGAGGTGAGTACAAGTAGGGGAAACCTAACCCTAAAGTGTTGTACTCACTAAGGAGTGACCCTACTGTAGCCTAGAGATACAATTGTAATCTGACACCGCGTGCTCTATATGAGCTATTGCGGTACTGATACAGGCGCTTACTTCGTTATGAAGTGACGCGATGGTGGAGAGCTTTCAGGAATGCTTACTAAAACCTTTCGGTTATTCCAACAACTAGCTTCCAAAATCATGAAGTCTTTGAAACTACAGAGTGCAAATGTATACTTCATTTGAAACTACAGGAATGCATGAATGCCTGAGATACGATAATGCAGGAATGCAGGAAGCTCCAAAAAACTGCTTTCCACTCAAAAGCAGGAATGTCTGAGATACCGTAATGCACGAATTTACACGTTTTGTTTGTGGCTTCTTGACCGCCAATGGGAAGCAGCTCACAGCGCAGTACACATCAATCAGCACACTGAAATCACCACAGTACAGTGGCCCTGCAAACAAACAGCGGTCGGCTCCTCTTATAAAACAAGGGGTCTGAACTGAGACACAAACAAATCATGGTTTCAGCCTCATGGGGACTTCAATTGAGGAGCAGAATCCCCTGCACTGAATACAGCTGATTCTTCCAAAACTGTAGAACCCAGTCTGTTAGGAGGCCAGTATCTGTAGATTGATCGGCCCAATACATTTTCCACCGGCAGAGGGCCCCTGATCACGAATAACGGGAGTTTAAGAACCAATTTTGAAATATGTTAGCTATTAGCTATTAGAAAAGAGGGTTTCGGGTTCCATGATGGTAGCGTGTGGGCATGGAGGGAGCATGAAAGCTGAAGCAAGTATGAGGCCTACCAGATGTGTGAGTCATAGCTGTTGTTACGATTGTCTCCCATGACAAACACGTATCCTGGTGGGACATACTGCACAAGAGAGGGAGTACCAGGATGGTTCTTGTGAGCGGCGCGCGTCAGGTTATGCAAGAGAAAATGCTGGTGGGGTTCACTGAAATTGGGAAAACATGATGGAATTGTGAAGACGGCGCCAGAATACGCAAAAACAAGAGTGGTGTCAACAAGGGTGCGTACCTGCGGCTTCATATCATATGCAGGTGGTTCGAAAGTGAAGTCATCACTCCTCTGGACACCATTCACATAGGTTTTCCCAGCCTTGACCTGCATGATTCACAAAGAAAAACATCAAACAGACTCCACGGAAAAGTGTCCAAAAGACATACACCAACCAACCAACTAGGCGATTACGGCAACTAACTAGCAGCCAGGAAGGACAAGTGGGTACAGAAGGAGACGGCACTGACCTCCACAACGTCACCAGCAGTAGCTATGATTCGCTTGATAAATACTTCGCCTGCACTGTACCCTCGTTCCTGCATGTAGCAAGCTCGCATGGTGAGCCTTAAACAACCACCACTAAGAGGAAAACATGCAGCTAAGATAGAGTGTCTACCTGAAGAACCTTGGGTGCCTTGAAAATGACAATGTCGTCAATCTCTGGTTCCCGGAAATAGTAGGAGACCTGAACACCAGGAAAGATAAATCAAGTCAAAGTCCGCAACTTACCGTTGTGAGCTTGCACGACCGGTAAAATCCGATGTTTATGACTGTGTGCGCAGCAAAATGATTCATGCTCGACTCTAACACCTTCCCAGCATTGGCGCTCAGGGACTCACTGTTTTAATGATAATTTACAGACAACTGACACATTCATGTTTCAGGAATCACACTTTCGAAGGAACTCTCACGTTTCAACAGTCAGGCACTCTCAATTTCTTTCCGCACCAACTGTGCCGTTGGATGCAGATCGACCTAAGACTGTTATCTGGACGACAAATGGCTCACCTTCTCCGCGATGATTCTGTCGCCAATGTCAAATGTCGGAAACATTGACAGCGACGGTATAAACCGTGGTTCCGCGATGAACCATCGGAACACCAGCGATATTCCAAACGCGATTATAACCGTCTTGGCATCGTCTGAAGTCAGATCAAGCCAATCGGGTAACCAGCTGGGCTTGTTGGCATTTTCGCCGGACTCCCGTTGACTTTCGGGTTCCCGATCGTTTGTCGTAGACAAATTCTTGCCTTTAGAGCTTCCGTCATCACCCCCGCCTGTTTCACCCTCCTCGCGAACAGCAGGAGCTCTGACGTCTCTCTCTACGCTGCCATTCCTCCGAGACCCGGAGGGGATGCCGTTGAACGACGATCGTGCATTCGCTCCAGATCGGACAGTGACAAATGATTGCTCCCCTGAAATTTCGGGTCTCGAAAGTTCTGATGGTTCCCTAAGAGAGGAACGAGTACTGGTTCGAAACACAATGCTCGCCGGTCTACATATTCTAGTCGGATTCCTACAGATTGGAAAATGCGAATCGGCTGACCGACGTTGAAAAATGGCGGCATCGCCGCATGTGCTCGCGAAACTGCGATCCAGAAATTTCGAGCTGCTACAAGCGGATAAGGCCGCCGAGTTCATCATACCGAAATTTTCACTAGGCAGCACAGCGGCTGCTCGTCAATCACCGGAAGAAAATCGGGGACAATACAGGACGAACGCGTTAGAGACGGCTGTCTTGAGGAGGCCGCTAACGCGACGCGCCAAAAGAGAACGAGGGACACCAGCAGAAGACGGAGACGGAAACGGAGACGCTGCTGCCTGCTCTTGCTCCTCTGCTCTGCTCTCAAGCTGATAGAAACAGAGGCCTCAGTGATGATAATCTGAGATGCTGTTATGGAAAATTGAGGAACGAAGCAGCCTTATCCAAACCACACTCCGAAGAAAGATAATAACTACGAGGTGAAGAGATTTTGTTCCATCGTGCAGTATCGCGTGTACCTTGATAACTGTAAGGATTTACAAAATCCTTACTGAGACACTCTTTAGCGAGGCCATCCCGAGGGTCACGCGACGAACCTGTTCGGCCTATTTCGTCGGCCGAACCACTCCCGAGTGGGCCTACGCACCAATCGCAACCATCACCGAGCCATCCTCGCCCAACCTCTTCGCCTAGCTAGCTTTTCCCCTATTTAGTCGTGCCATTCTCTTGTATCGTCATTCAGTAATTCTCATTCTCGTTATTCGATATTCTGCTCACACTGCAAGTTCATTCAGAACAATAACTCCCACCGTCCGCCTTACAAAACGATACATTTGCATCAAATCTGTGTACAGATATTCAGCGTCTTAAGAAGATGCACTAACTACATAACACCTGTTACAATATGAAACGTTATGAGAAGGCATTCCTGTATGCTGCAGGAGCCGACTCTACCGAGTACGAAGTCGAGGAGTCAGAAGAGTCGAAGCGACGCTGGTAACCGTCTGGTAAAGACCGATGCATGCAGAAACATTTGAACTGAAAAGAGCGGGAACATGTTTGAAACAGGTTCTCGCGCCGCACGGTTTGAACTTCGCTGTAATTGTTGCGATCAGAAGTTGATCGTGCCTAGGATCACCTCAGGAAGGTTCGCACACAACTGAGTAGAGATGGTGGGCCCTTGACCTTAATAGCAGAGTGAATATAAAATGCTAGAGATGAATTAAAACATGCAAGTACAATGGTATAAATAAGAGTACAGGAAGGAATGCGAATCGACCTAGCTAGTCGTGTACTCTAAGGGGTACATTCCCTTATTAAAGCGAATCCCAACCATGCGATTCCAGACGGTTACAAACTGCCTGAGCAGAATCCTCGCCACAACTGCTGCCTCATGCTGTCTGCCCAACGGTCCATATGCCTTCGTAACCGTATGACCTTTCGCGTCGCTTCCGTCCTTTCGTCTTCATTCTCGGTAGTGCATGCTTCGATTGCTGCGGTAAGGAGTGCACAGTGATGCTCCAATAATTACTATTCGTAACACCCCCCTTCACTCCTGGTCGTAGCAAGTCTTGACCCGCTTGACTACTTCGCTGAGTTCGGAGCAGTGTTGGTACTGCTGACGTGACAGCTTCTTCGTGAGGAAGTCAGCTGCCATGTCACCTATCGGGCAGTAGGTTAGGTCAACCTTGCCCTTGTCAACTTCGTCCTTGACGAAGAAGTACCGCAGCGTGATGTGTTTGGTGCGGTTGACGAATCCCGGCTTGTTCGCGATCCTGATCGCGCTCTGATTGTCGCAGTGCAGGCGAAAGTTCTCCCAGGATGAAATTTTCGCCTCCTGCAGCAGCTCCTGAAGATAGAGGCCTTCGCGAACGGCTGCTGTTGCTGCGATGAATTCAGCTTCTGCTGATAATAGGGCAACCAGCTCCTGCTTCTGTGAATTCCAGGAGATGGGACCGCTGGGCTCGAGGCGGAAAAGGAAGCCTGTCCTGGACCGTCGATTGTCGGGGTCAGCAACATGATCGGCGTCCACGTAGCCGATGAGGTTGAACGACGAGGTTGGGATGGTGGAGTATCAGAGCCCAACATTGGGCGTGGAGATGAAGAACTGAAGTGCCCGCTGGAGATCTAGTAGATTCTCAGCCGTTGGTTTGCGTGAGTACTGAGCCAACTGGCCCGCGATGTAGGAGAGATCGGGCCTGCAGGTAACGGATGCAAAGAGTAGGCATCCCAGCTGCTGCTGGTAGGTGTGAAGCCCGGCAGGGGACAGGGCTTTGTTGTCAAGCTTGTGGTTGGGTCCTGGAGTGCGGTAAGGGGTGGAGAGTGGTGCAGGCGCAATATTGAAGCGCTTACTAAGTTCCTCTGCGTACTTGGCTGCTGAGAGATGAATGGCTTCCGGCGAGTAGGAGATGTTGAGCCCGAGGAATTGCTTCGTGTCGTGGTTGCAAGTGATGTCAACGCGCCCCGCGAGGCTCTTCTCGAACTGCTCAAGTAGCTCGTTGCTAGACCCTGTGTAGAGGAGGTCGTCGACGTAAACCGTGAGTAAGATGTATTCGCCGCGAAAATCGCGACGATACATCCCAGGGTCGGGAGGTAGCTGCTTGAACCCGATTTCAAGCAGTATGTTGTGCAGGTACTGCTGCCAAAGCCTTAGCGCCTGATTGATCCCGTACAGGGATTTTCGCAGCTGGCAGACACGCGAATCCCCTTCGCCGTATGTATGCGCCTGCTCCACGTAGATCACTGCATCCACTAACGCGTACAGGAACGCGTTCTTCACATCGATTTGTCGAAGCGGGAGGTGTCGTGCGGCAGCGATGGCGAGGAGAATTCTGACGGAGGTATGACGGCTGACCGATGCAAATGTCTCGTCGAAGTCAATGCCGTGCCTCTGATCGTAGCCGTGCACTACCCAGCGCGTCTTGAATCGCTCGATCGTGCCGTCGGCTGCGGTCTTCATGCGGATAAACCGCTTCGTCTCCCGCTTCTAGATCGGGTAAGAAGTTGGGGCCTATGCGTTCTGGAACGTATGTGTTGACCGGATATGGTGTAACGTAACCGTTGTCGGCGAAGTCGTAGTAGACTTCGGCGTTGATGCTTTCGCGAGGATTTTCGTCGTCCATCGGAATGGGTACAGAACAGTAAGGAAGAGGTCCAGCTTCCTCCGATGCTCCGTCCACGTTTTGTTTATCCCAGTCAGCCTCATCTGCTGGCGAAGTGAAGGCTCGGTTGCCACGGAAGCCGCCTGTGAGGTCTCTTTCTGCTGCCAAGTTGTCCAGGTACGTTTGGAGAGCGAGTCATTCGTAGAAAATCACGTCACGTGCGGCTAGTGTTTCCTTCGAGTGGACGTAAAAAATCTTCCACGCGTTGTAATGTTTTTCGATGCCCAGGTGTAATCCCCACTGTGCGCGTTGTGAGAATCGCCCGGCTCGTGCAGTGTGGGGTCGGTACTGTACCATGCAGCCAAAAACTGGTAAAATTTTTGTGTTGCCCAATTTTCCTGTCCACGGCAGATGCGGTGATGCGTTGTTCGGAAGCGAGGATGACGAAAGCAAGTTGTGCAACAGCACAGCGTGGTCCATCACCTCAGGCCACTGATCGTTGGGTAGCCGCATGCCACGTAGCAGCTTGCGCATGGTGTTCTGGAGGGTCCTGTTCATTCTTTCTGCCACCCCTTGCTGCTGATGAGCATAGGGAAGAGAAATGAGTCGCTTGATGCCTCTCTCCGCCAAGTATTGCTTGAAGCGCTCTGACTGATATTCTCCTCCTCCGTCTAACTGAAGCTTTTCAGCTTTACTCCTGATTCTCTTTCTGCTACTGGGAGCCAAGCAACGAATGCTTCGAAGGCCATGTCGCAACTCGGAAGGTTGAGGTGCCAGACGTATCTGGTGGCGGCGTCGATGAACGTGATTACGTAGTTGTATGCTCCTTGTCCGCTTTCGCGGGTGTACAGTATGTCGCTGTAGACCTTCTCCAGTGGTGCGTATGCTAGCGCGCTCGGGTTGTGGTGAGAGACAAACGGCTGATGGGGTAAGTCGGCTTCAGGGCAGGTAAAGCAGGTTCCGCGGACTCTTTGAATTTCTTTGCCGTCGGGTAAAAGTAGTGAGTCTTTATCGAGATCTGGTGGGTGCGACCAAGTGGCGAAGTTGACGATCGCGACGCTGTCAGCAATTCCTTGATCTGGGACGAAGTCGAGAACGAAGACGTTGTTCTCCAGGAACGCTTTCCCGATGTAAAGTCCTCCCTTCCCGTTGTACAGTTTGAACTCCTGAGTGGTGCTGTCGGCTTCAAGGTGAATCCCTTTCGCCATGAGCTGGCTGACGCTTAGCAAGTTGTAGCCCAGTCCTTCTGCAATCAAAACCTTTGACATCTGTAAAACGACGTTAGTCTCGCGGGACTGAAGTTGAACTATTCCTTGTTATCGTGTGCGCAGGTTCTGGTTGTTGGCGACGGTGATCACGACTTCTTGGTTGAGGCGTTGTTCCCGTTGAACGAAGAGATTTGACGAGCACATGTGTTGTCCGCAACAGCTGTCCAAGAACCAAATATCTTGACCGGACGGTTCGCTCTA